CTTTCTTTGAGACGGAGTCTCACTGTGTCTCCTAGGCTAGAGGACAGAGCGCAGTCTTGACTCACTGCAACCTCTGCCTCCTGGGTTCGAGCAATTCTCCTGCCTCAGCCTCCAGAGTAGTTGGGATTACAGGCACACGCCACCACACCTGGCTAATTTTTGGTATTTTTCCAGAGACGGGGTTTCATCATGTTGGCCAGGCTGGTCTCGAACTCCTGACCTCAGATGATCCACTTGTCTCAGCCTCCCAAAGTACTGGGATTACAGGTGTGAGCCACGGCACTGAGTCCTTATCCTTGTTAATTAATATGGCATTAGATAAGTCTTGTAAGTTTTGTGTAAGTCCTCTGCTTTTCCTTTTTCTGAAATGTTGCCTTGGCTATTCTAACTTCTGTTTCTGCAGCACTTGGAGATGGCCTCAGAGCTGTGACTAGCAATCCTAAGTGAATATCAGAGTTGATCCTCTGGACCTTTTAAAAATCCAGATATTCAGCCTCACCCTCTACTAACTGAAGCAGGTCACCCATGGGTGGGGCTTAGATGCCTTTATTTTAAAAACAGCCCCTGGGCTTGCAAAAGTAGGCAAAAGCTGGGGGCCAGCAGTGTAAGCAGGAGGGGTCACCTGATACTATATCACCTGCTCGGTTTTGGTGACCCAGGTGTGGCTGTTTTTGCCACTACCATGTGCTCAGACCTGGACTCATTCTTTGGGCCTCAATGTTGTCATCTGTAAAACCAGAGGGTTGGAATCAATTCTTCAAGTATTTGGAATCTGTGATCTTCTTGGTGCTGTGCCAAGGGATGTCATATGTCCTCAAAGAAGTTACAGTTTATCAGAGGAAACAGACAAGTAAACTAAGAATTTTATTACAGCATGAGGTGAACATACAGAAAGCGAAATCAGAGCAGACCCTGGGAATGTCCATGGCTATACTTCCCGGAAAAGGTGACTTTGAACTGTGCTTGAAGAGTGACCACAGTTAGCCTGGTGGGTACAGCAAGGAAGGTCAGTAATTAGAGGGAAGCAGCAGGTGCAAAGGTGTTGGGTGAGAAAGAGAATGGTGTTTGGGGGCCCTGGTTAGAATTTAGGGCACATGTAGAAAGATGGTGCTAGAAAATAAACACTGTTTATGCCAACCTAAAGCATTTCAACAGTGAATCCTACCCTGTGGAGAATGGCATGAGCAAATTCGCATTTGAGAAAAGTCCTTCCGTAGGGGCTGTAGTGAATCCACTGGAAGGCCTTGAGAATGGTGGCATGCTGATCATTTGGACTATCCTAGAAATCAAGTTAAGAAGTGTGGTTCATTTCAGAAAGTTATAAAGTAGAATTGATAAAGTGAGGGAAAAGGAGGAGGAGAGGAAGTGGAGAACTCATGTCTGAGGGCTCCTAATTTTTATAATTGTAAGGATGTGTTATGGGGAATATTTGAAAGAGGAATGTAGGTAAATAGATGGAGATGCAAAGAATTGCTAAGGTGAAGACCATGAATTTGTAGTGGTACCAAGACACCTGTTTATGTGATTAGCTCCTACAGTGCTCTGCTCTCTGGTTGGAGGCGTGTAGGAGAGAGATGAAGGGATCCATCAGAATGGGGGCTTTGCAGGTGAAGATGCTGGAAGGACAGAGGGCTACAGAGTTGAGGTATTGGAAAGGAAATGATTGAAGTGATTGAAGTGATGGATAATGGTTCTGGGTAATGGCAAATCCCTATGATAATCCTGGCTTATGTCTGGGAGAATTGAAAACTGAGAGAAGTCCCCAGGAAGTCTTTGAAATTGAAGAGCTGACAGAGGACAACGTTAGGGTATTAAGACATCTGTCTACACCTGGAAAAGTGGTAATGTCTCCAGTTTTGTTTTCGTTTCAATCCCAAATTACTCCTCAGCACAGTGGTTTGGGGCCCCCATCATTGTGCTCAGTCTGAACTTGCTAAAGTTACTTCGGGCTCTCCAGTTGCTAAACTGACATTCATTTTCAACCTGATTGTGGCGTTCAACATTGCTGGGCACTCCCATCAGCTGGAAACTCCTTTCTCATTTTCTTCTAAGACTTACTCATTCTTGGTCTCTGTTTATCTTTTTTTATTATTATTATTTTTATTTTTTCTGGCACTTCCTTTGTAATCATCACTGAGTTTTTTTCCTCTATAGTTGGGTCTTAGGATTTGAGGTTCCCCATAGTTTCAGCCTAGGATTTGAGGTTCCCATAGTTTCAAGCCATGGTCATCTTCTGTGCTTGCTTTTGCTTACATTCAAGTGGATGATTTATAGAACCATCCATTTCACTATATTCTCTGTATGGCTCCAAGTTCTCTTCCACTTGGATCTTTCTTCCACCCTCCGGATTCCTTTGTCCAACTGTCTAATATAGATTCTTCTTAGACCCTCCCATCCCCACCACTCACCTCATGCACTGTGGTTAGAGCTATTTTTTAATCTTACCCCAGATAGAACCATTTTTTCCATTTCTTTGCATTCTTTCTTCTTCCTAGTAACACCTTTGCATACCCAAGCTAGGACTGTAGAGGTCCTGCTCCCTCTGCATATCCCAAATTTGTCACTACATTCAGTGGACTGGAACTACTTAAAATAATTGTTTTTTGTTTTTTACTTGTTATCCTTACTTCCCTGCTTTAGTTTAGGTTCCATTCGGCCTCAGTTTATGGAAATAAAATCTAAATGGTCTTTAGCATTGCATTATTTTAATCCTTTAAACTACACAGCAACTAAAGGATGTTTCTCAAAAGAAAATCTGATTGTCTTATTCTCTTGCTCAGAAGGCTTCTGATGCTCGTCTCCTTTTCATGGTTTTCTGTGAGAGGGCTCCTGACTACCTCACTAGTTTTATCTCCATCACTCTTCTGTACTCATTGCATCTTAGTAAGAATTCTCAGGTTATTTTGTGTTTCTGAAATATTGTACATCCCGGGTCAGGAGTTTTCCTCACGATGCCTAGAATATATAAGGCATTCAAAAGTGGACGCTATTGTTCTTAATATTTTAATTTTAAATCTTGTTAGTGAGACATTACCCTAAAGATTTTAAATTTAAATCCAAGCTTGTTGAGAGTTTAACCTTTGAAATAATGCTCCAGTGGATCAGAATAGAGGCAGTTCAAGTTATAGCAAAGTGACAGAATGGCCTTCAGCTGCAAGGCTGAACTTTAAGATGATTAAAATATGTATATCTTGAAAGAAAGAATGAATCCTTCAGAAAGAGGACTGCTCAACTGTGAAAGCACAGAAAGGGAGGCCCAGAGATTATACCTAGCCAGAGACTATCCAGGGAAGACTGTCCAGGGAAGAGGTTTATGAAGTGCAAAGACTAGACTTCGTGCTTTGTGTGGGCTGAGTGCAGTGGTTTACGCCTGTAATCCTAGCACTTTGGGAGGCTGAGGTGGGGAGACTCCTTGAGCCCAGGTGTTTGAGACCGGCCTGGGCTTCATGGTGAAACCTTGTCTGTACTAAAATAACAAAAAATTAGGGTGTGGTGATGCATACCTATAGTCTCAGCTATTCAGGAGACTGGAGTGGGAGGATCCCCTGAGCTCAGGAAGTGGGCGGCAGAGCTAAGACCCTGTCTCACCCCCCCCCCCCAAAAAAAGTGCTTGTCTGTATCCTAAAGAAGGAGACACCACAGTATCAGAGTCTGATGCCTTTATACATCTAACTCTGATTAGTAACTCCCATTTTGTTTGATAAGCAGTTGTCAGATTATGAGTTGGTTTCCCATATCAGGTATTGACAGGGAAATAATGTAAGCCTTCTAGGAAGTAGCATTTCACATTATAAATAAACCAGTGCTTGTTTGGCATTAATTATTTACTGCATCCTGCTGGGCGGCTCTATTCATGCTGTTCCAGGGGTGGAGAGTGAAGTGTGACTCTGAACCGTGCCTAAGTGAGGAGAGAGCTTAGCGCTTGGGCAGGTAAATATTTATTTAATTAGGGGTTTCCATGTTGATTTTATCTTTTAGATTGTGTACTTCCTGAGGAGAGGGATTGCATGTTGGTCCTGCATGGCCAGGCCTGTCACAGTGCAAGCAAACTGCAGGAACTCAAATGTTTGAATGAACAAATGGACCACTTAGCTAAGCAGTCACTCTGTGGAGTGCAGCTTCTTGAAGGACAGGGAACAAGTTTGGGAGAATTCAGAAGTGGGCCCAAGGTATAAAAGAAGTGGTGATTAGCGTGAGAATGTGAGCCTAGGACAGGACAGAGGAATGGTGAGGCTTGCCCTCTGGGTGGTTGCTGGGAGAGAAAGCATTCCTGAGACTCACTGGTCTTCTGGTTGGTTGGGTGTGAGGTTGTTGCCTTGTCCATGGAGGAGGTGGGAAGAGCGGGAGAAGTGATGTGACATCTGCCCTCCATAAACCTGGCCAGATTCCTTTGCTCACTGTTCAGACCTTCAAATTGGATGTTGGCAAATAATTATTTTGGATTTCTATAAAGTCCACTGCTTGATAAGTGCAGAAATTGGGCCCACAGTGGGAGCAGTCATTATGAACCCGGGTTTCCAGTCTTGGCAGAGGCACTTGGGCCATTAAGTGGGAGTCCACTGGCAGACATGGGCTCCTGAAGGTGGAGGATGTTCCTGCCTGTTCATGTCCTCCTGTGAAAAACTGACCCAGGCTCAGTTTTCCTCCATGAAGTCTTCCTTCCAACTCACATAGGCCACTCTCCTCTCAACTCCTGCTAGACTTAATGTTTGTATCATTCACTTCAGCCTGTAAAATATCCTTTGTCAAATCTGTGTATATCTATATACACATACACATGTATATATATATACACACACACACATATATACACATTATATACAGACTGGGCAAGGAATTCTGCTGTGTCTGTCTATCATCAATCTGTCATCTACCTGTTTTTCTATTTACCTAGCTAGCTAGCTGTTGTCTTTCAGTTAGATTGTAAATTACCTAAATTCTAGGGATCACACAAGTTTCTAAGTATTCATTGAATTGAATTTTGTTTTTATTTGTATTAGGACTGTAACGAGATTACAGGGGAGCGGTTTACTGTTTTGGAAACCAGGCTTTTGGTGAGCAATGTCTCAGCAGAGGACAGAGGGCACTACGCGTGTCAAGTTATACTGACACACTCAGGGAAGCAGTACGAAGTTTTAAGTGGCATCACTGTGAGCATCAGTAAGTATGCTCATGTATGTCTGTCGCCTTGTCTTCTTTTGGCTTTGTGGGAACTGGCTTCTGGCTTTGGGCTTTGGGCTTTGAGCAGGAGTGATTCTAGGTCTTGGTTTCCCTGAAGGCTAGCAGGCTCTCAGACCTGCCACTCTTAGAATCAGAAGGTGGGAAGAGTGAGGCAGAAGGGCATGAGCAGCTTAGTTCCCTCTTCGGAACAACAGAACACTCAAAACTCTTGGTTGATTTGTGAAAATTAAATGAGATCATGCACATAGACCAGCTGCTGGGGTGCCTGATGCAACACAGGTATCTAGAAAATGGTAGATGTGATGAACATGACTCTCATTCACCTCAGCCTTCATTGTTGTGAATATTCCTGCAGGCCTTCCAGCTGAGGCCTCCCCTGCCTCAAGTGCTGCAGAGCTGAGGGTTCTGGACATGGTCCTGGGATATCCTGCTGCTCATGGGACCTGTGTTCTCATCCCAGAGCAGCCAGCTCTCTGTAACATATGCCTGGAGGTTTGAAAGTAGAACTTTAGAGGAAGAAGAAACCCTAAAAGTAATTTAGCTCAAGCTAAATTTAATTTAGCTTTAATTTTTTTTAATTTAATTTTTTTTGTTTTCAATTTTTGTGGGTACATAATAGGTGTACATACTTATGTATTTATAATATATACACATAATAGGTGTATATATTTATATATAATATGTGTATATATTAAATAATAAAAGGTGTATTATATAATGATGTATTACATATACACAATAGGTATATATATTACATGATATGTGTATATTTATATTTATAATCCTTGAGCATAGAATATTTTTTCATTTTTTTGGTGTCCTCTTCAATTTCTTTCATCAGTGTTTTATAGTTTTCATTACAGAGATCTTTCACTTGTTTGGTTAATTCCCAGGTATTTAATTTTGGTTAATACCTATGCATTTTTGAAATGATCATATGGTTTTATGTGTGGCTACTGTAAATGGGATTACTTGTAAAATTTCTTTTCACATTGTTCACTGTTGGCATATAGAAATGTTACTAATTTTTGTATGCTGATTTTGTATCCAGCAACTTCACTGAATTTATTAGTTCTAATAGTTTTCTCGTGTAGTCTTCAAGTTTTCCCAAATATAAGATCGTATCATTTGCCAACAATGATAATTTGAATTCTTCTTTCCTAATTTGGATGCTGTTTATATCTTTCTCTTGTCTGATTTCTCTAGCTAGGACTTCCAGGACTATGTTGAATAACAGTGGTGACAGTGGGCATCCTCGTCGTGTTCCAGAACTTAGAGGAAAGGCTTTCAGTTTGTCCCCATTCAGTATGATAACTAGCTGTGAGTCTGTCACATATGGCTTTTATTACGTTAAGGCATGTTCTTTCTACTTCCAGTTTTTTGAGGGTTTTTATCATGAAGGCCTGTTGAATTTTATCAAATGCTTTTGCAGCATCAATTGCAATGATCATATGGTTTTTATCCTTTATTTTGTTGATGTGATGTATTACACTGATTGATTTGCAAATGTCAAACCATCCTTGCATCCCAGGGATAAATCCCATTAGCTCATGATGAATGATCTTTCCAATGTATTGTTGAATTCTGTTTGCTAATACTTTGTTGAGGATTTTTGCATCAGTATGCATCAGAGATACTTGCGTGTAGTTTTCTCTCTGTCTCTCTCTCTTTCTCTTTTTTTTTTTTTTTTGATGTGTCTGTGTCTGGTTTTGGTATCACGGTAATAACTGGCCTCATAGAATGAATTTGGAAGTATCTTTTCCTCCTCTATTGTTTTGAACAGTTTGAGTAGGATCGGTATTAGTTCTTCTTTAAATGTTTGGTAGAATTTAGTGGTGAAGCCATCGAGTCCCAGGCTTTTCTTTAATAAAGAGACTTCTTTCTCTTTAATAAAAAGACTTTATTAAAATTTTTATATTATTACTTGTTATTGGTCTGTTTAGGTTTTGGATTTCTTCCCGGTTCAATCTTGATAGGTTGTATTTGTCTAGGGATTTGTCCATTTCTTCTAGATTTTCCAATTCATTGGCATATAGTTTCTCATAGTAGCTATTAATAATCTTTTGGATTTCTGCAATAACAGTTGTCATGTCTCCTTATTCATTCCTGATTTTATTTATTTGTATCTCTTCTCTTTTTTTCTTAGTCTGGCTAAAGGTTTGTCAATTTTGTTTCCCTTTTCAGAGAACCAACTTTTTGTTTCATTGATCTCCTTTTTTTCATTTTGATTTAATTTATTTCTTCTACTGATTTTGGGCCTAGTTTGCTCTTGCTTTTCTAGTTCTTTAAGATACACCATTAGATTGTTTATATGAAGTATTTCCTCTTTTTTTGATGTAGGCACTTATAGCTGTAAACTTTTCTCTGAGTACTGCTTTTGCTGTATCCCATATGTTTTAGTATGTTGTGTTTCCATTATTTGTTTCAAGAAATTTTTCAATTTCCTTCTTAATTTCTTCATTGACCCACTGGCCATTCAGAAGCATACTGTTTAATTTCCATGTGTTTGTATAGTTTCCAAAATTCTTCTTGTTATTAATTTCTAGTTTTATTCCATTGTGGTCAGAGAAGATGCTTGATATTTTTCCAATTTTTTCAGTGTCTTAAGACTTGTTTTGTGACCTAACATATAGTCTGTCCTTGAGAATGATCCATGTGCTAAGGAAAAGAATATGTATTCTACAGCCATTGGATGAAATGTTCTGTAAATGAATCTATTAGATCCATTTGGTCTATAGTACAGATTAAGTCCAATGTTTCTTTGTTGATTTTCTACCTAGAAGATCTGTCCAGTGCTGAAAGTGGGACATTGAAGTCTCCAGCTGTTATTGTATTGGAGCCTATCTCTTTCTTTAGCTCCAATAATATTTGTTTTTATATCTGGGTGATTCAGTGTTGGGTGTTGACCTTTTTATCATTACATAGTGACCTTTGTCTTTTTTTATAGTTTTTGTCATGAAATCTATTTTCTCTAAGTATAACTACTCCTGCTCTTTTTTTGTTTTCGATTGGCATGGAATATCTTTTTCCATCCCTTTATTTTCGGTCTATGTGCGTCTTTATTGGTGAAGTGTGGAAACAATCAATGGGTCTTATTTTTTCATTCATTCAGCCATTCTATGTCTCTTTATTGGAGAGTTTAGTCCATTTACAGTTAATGTTATTATTGATAAGTAAGAACTTACTCCTGTCATTTTGCTATTTGTTTTCTGCTTGTTTTGTGATCTTCTCTTCCTCCTTTCTTTTCTTCCTGTCTTCTTTTAATGAAGGTGATTTTGTCTGATGACATGATTTGGTTTCTTGCTTTTTATTTTTTTAATGTCTCTATTGTATGTTTTCTGGTTTGAGGTTTCCACGAGTTGAAAATACTATTTTATAACCCGTTATTTTAACCTGATAACAACTTAATATTGTTTGCATAAACAAAAAAGCAAAAAGAAAACTAATAAAAATTCTACACCTGAACTTTATTCCCCTGCTTTTTAACTTCTTGTTGCTTCTATTTATATCTTATTGTACTGACTACACCTTGAAAAGTTGTTGTAGTTATTATTTTTGATTGGTTCATTATTCAGTCTTTCTAGGATAAGAACAGTTTCACACCACAGTTACCGTGTTAAAATATTCTGTGTTTTCCTGTTTACTTATTATAACCATTGAGTTTTATACCTTCGGGTGATTACTTATTGATCATTAGTGTCCTTTTCTTTCTGATTGGAGTACTCCCTTTAACATTTCTTGTAGGACAGGTCAGCAGATGAAATCCTTCAGCTTTTGTTTGTCTGAGAAAGTCTATTTCTTCTTCATGTTTGAAGGTTATTTTTGTGGATATACTATTCTAGGGTAAATGTTTTTATAATGTGTCATGCCACTCCCTCCTGGCGTATAAGATTTCCACTGAAAAGTCTGCTGCTAGATGTGTTAGAGCTCTATTGTATATTATTTGTTCCTTTTCTCTTGCTGCTTTTAGAACCCTTTCTTTATCCTTGACCTTTGGGGGTATGATTACTAAATGCCTTGAGGTAGTCTCCTTTGGATTAAATCTGCTGGGTGTTCCATAACCTTCTTGTATTTGGGGACTGATATATTTCTCTAGGTTTGGGAAGTTCTCTGTTATCCCTTAGAATAAACTTTCTGCTCTTTTCTGTTTCTCTACCTCCTCTTTAAGGCCAATAACTCTTAGATTTGCCCTTTTGAGGCTATTTTCTAGATTCTGTATGCATGCTTCATTGTTTTTTATTCTTTTTTCTTTTGTCTCCTTTGACTGTTTATTTTCAAATAGCCTGTCTTCCAGCCTGCTAATTCTTTCTTCTGCCTGATACATTCTGATTTTAAAGGACTCCGATGCATTCTTCAATATGCCAATTGCATTTTGTTTCATTTCCAGAATTTCTGCTTGATTAAAAAAACATTATTTCAATCTCTTTGTTAAATTTATCTGATAGAATTCTGAATTCGTTTTCTGTGTTATCTTGAATTTCTTTGCGTTTCCTCAACACAGCTATTTTGAATTCCCTGACTAAAAGATCACATGTCTCTGTTTCTCCAGGATTGGCCCCTGGTGCCTTATTTAATTCATTTGAGGGGGTCATGTTTTCCTGGATGGTATTGATGCTAGTAGATGTTCTTCAGTGTCTGGGCATTGAAAAGTTAGGTATTTACTGTAGTCTTCACTGTCTGGGCTTATTTGTACTTGTCCTTCTTGGGAAGGCCTTCAAAAGGATTTGAGTGTTTTGATCTAAGCTGTATCTGCTTTAGGGGGCACCCTAAGCCCAGTAATGTTGTGGTTCTTGCAGACTTGTAGAGGTACCACCTTGATGATCTTGGACAATATCTGGGATAATTCTCTGGATATCAGGTAGAGACTTGTTCTCTTCCCTTACTTTCTCCCAAACAGAGTCTGTCTGTCTGTTCTGAGCCACCTAAAGCTGAGGGTGGAGTGACATAAGCACCCCTGTGGCCATGACCACTATGACTGC